ATTATAGATATAATAAAATTTCGATTTATTCATTGCTTATTTTGATTCGATGAATTTTTGAATTTTATAAGATTATAATATATCTATAAATATTAAGAATTTCTTGCTCACGAAAATATTTTTTTTATATCTTTTCTTTTGTATTCTGATATACGTAATTTCGAAATTTGTCGAAAAATATAGATTTTTTTTGGTTTTTCATGAAAAAATTTAATTTAAGAATTATTTAATTGAAAAAAATTTCTGGAATAAGCTCTCGATAATTTAAAATATATATCAAAACTGAAAAAATATAAATACCAATTTTGATATCTGAATAAAGATGATTAAGTTGAAGTATTCAAATCTTTATTAATTAATTTCGAATTTTTCGATGATACGAAATTTCGAAATTAACGAATTCTTTTCTATGCGAAAAAACAAGAAAATTGAAATGATTACTTAGAGATTCTATCTTTGAATTGGTTGGGAACGCCGGTTTTGGATTTGTCTTATTTTTTGATTCTATTTTTTGATGTATTATTCTTATCTAATATTTGAGAATTGATTTAATATATATTAATTTACATAATTCAGAAAATATTATCCAATTCGAGAAATCCTGGAAATCTTAGATATAAAGAGAATTGATATTAATTGATGATTCTTTTCTCTCTCAATTTTCTTTCGAGATTCTTTTTTATAGATTTGTCGATATTATTTTTCCCATTCGTCTAAATTTGGATCGTCAATTCAATTGATAGAGATTCCTAAATAGAGAGAATTAGAATCTAGTCAATAAATTCTCTCATCTTAATTTCTCTTTTTTTCTTCTACCAGATCAAGCTTATAAACAATATTCGGAGATTTAAGAATTAAACTCAGAATTCTATATATTATGAAAATAGGCTTGTTGCTTCCGACAACGATAGAAGACGACTATATTGAATTTTCAATCTCATGATGGTTGTTCTATATCATTAGATTTCATAATAGAGAATATTGAGAAAAAAGAAACATATTTTTGAATATGAATCTATCGATATATGATCATATATTAAGCAATAATCTATATCGAATTTTTGATATATGTAGATTCACCATAATTAAATGATCTATAATAGATATATAGACGAGCAAAATATAATTCAATCATCCGCCAAGACGGAAATTTTAGTTTAAAGATCTCTAGAATCTTATCAATATTGAGATATCTTTTCTATAAAGAATAGTATCGAATAGAATCATTCGATGTCTTATAAGATCTGATTATATTTCAAGCAACTAGATAAGAATTATTATCTTTATAGATTTCTTATTACGCACATTTATTCTCAAGATGAATTTTTCTAGTAAAAGATTATAATATCTCTTTATTAGTTAGATGCTCTTAATCTATGCCCAATATTGAAATCTCTTTATTCATAATAAATATGATCCAAAAGAAATATATTCATTATCTCACGAGATCTAACTAGATTTCATTTATTCTATGAGAGATATCATCTTCATAGAATTCTTATATAAAAAATAAATATATAGATAATCTTTCTTAATAATGACGCTGCCCTTAAGACATCTTTATTGAAATGCCAATAATTTTGGAATGCTTGTTATGGGAGGCAGAGGAGAGGGAAAATGGACAGAGAAGAAGAGATGCTAATGATATTATTATATAGATCCGAAGAATATCTCTTCAAGATCCATTCTATTGCATAAAATAAAATATTCGTAATATTGGAAAGCGCATTTTTACGGGTCATTCTATTTCGCATCACTTCAAAACACGTTTTATATTCAATATTCCTCGACATATATTATATTCCATTCCACCACAAATCAAATATACGACTCGACAAAGCCCATTCCATCACAAACACAATTTTGTGCATTAGATATATATCATTCTGCCGGAAATCACTCCATCATAAATTCAATTTAAGATATAATTCTATATATCTCTCTTCAAATATAATTTTGGGGAAGACAACAACGATATTAAGGCGCAACTATCGGCTTTCCTTACATTATATATTTTAGTTGTTTATTCATTACTTTAAATTTCTTATCAATTTTATTAACCTATCCAATAATTTAAAAACAACAAATATATCTTTAAATATCAATTTCTATAAAAAAAATAAAAAGAAATTATATAATTATAGAAATACTCAAATCATTTCCTATATCAAAAATATATTATTATATAGAAATATACAGATCCACAAACATAGAAATACAAATAAATATACAAAAAATCGAATAATATACCTACTAATTTTCTATATTTTTCCACCCTTAAAACTAAAATTATACGAAATTTCCTAAAATTACCAAAATCTTTAAAATTAAATTACCAATAGTATCACGATATTAAAACTTTCAAGAATTTATATTATCGCGACACGATTATACAAGAGACATTCAAAAGCCATCAGAAGACCAAATTACAAGAGACCAAGGGCGCGCACAAAATAAAAAATACGAGACCATATTATTAGAGAATTATTCAACTATATATATATATGTACACCTATTCCTTTCCATTTTCAAATGAAATCAAGAAGTATAAATATTATATTTCAGTAAGATCTTGATTTAATTGAAATACTTATATAGCTCATATATCATATAAAAAAGATTAATGATACTAATAGTAATTCGGAGATACTACCAGACGGCCAGATCTATAGGAATTATACGTGACCAATTTGAAAAAAATGCGGCACTTCCGCTGCATCAGAACATGGACGTTGGCACTCCGCAACAAACATGACATGATGCACAAGCGCGAAAACGACCCAGAGTTCAACCACCAAAGGTCTGCACGATCATGCAAGGCCTCGCCCAAGAGCATGCCAACACAAGCTACTTCAGGTTCGAGCGCAGGACACGGCTAGATCTGATGGAACACGTGCTACGCCCACCATCCATGCTCCAGTTTATGATGGTCAATCAGCAACAACAATGCCAGCATGCTTGCTACTTCACGACAAAATTCATCAAGAACCACCAGAGACGACCTATGCTGCCAGCCATTCACGTCTACTCCCCAGCCGATGTTCGAGTCTACCCCGTTTCTTGAGGAACAACATTGGAAGAACAAGGCCACGCCTGCTGTGCACGGAACGATGTCAACGGCAGCGACAGCAAGTTCCCAGAAATTTTGCGATCTCTGAGCAGTCTGTAGCACTGTACAATCAATTGAGGAAAACCGCCTCGCAGCACGCGGGCTGGTTGCAAGTCTACCTACCAGCGCTCATTCAGAGATCGCAACGGTGGCGGCTAACAGCAGGCGGACTGGACAAAGCCGTTTCTAATTCGGGGTGGAACGTGGAACCCCTCCCCAAACTAGCACCTCATACCCAGTCAATCCTTGCAAGTGCGATGCGCTCAGTTGTGAAAGCGGCCAAAACTGCATCGATGCCTCCCCATCACAGCTCCGAAAAGCTTGTACGTGTCACTGCAAGGCATTGACTCCGAATGCTTTATGTCCCGTCATGTCATGTTTGGCTTATCTTTACCTTCTGCTGGCCTGCTGCGAGTCTCGGATGTCAGGCGTGAACGCTGTCTAAGCTGCCTTCTGCCACGACGAACCTGAGAGGTCGGTCAAGCAGAAATGTCTGTTGGGGTGAAGACCTCCACTTTGCTAGGAAGGGGGCGTTCCAGGGACGAGAAGGACTCCATGTGATCGTACCATCTCCTGGCATGCGAATGTACTTGCTGCTCGGGCTGGTTGTGAGGGTTCCCTGTCCGCCTCCTTCCAACTACTTGTCAGCTCGAGTGGCATTACAAAGTTCGGGTGCCCGACCCCGAAAATTTCTCCATCGTGCCACAGTGCCCAAGCAGTCATGCATGATCTATCCTGCAGTCTGCGACTGAAGTGGCAAGCCTCTGCCAAGAAATATTGCCACACCATGATGCGCTTATTGGGTAGTTCCCATTCTTGAGTATGATGACAGATGCACCGTTAATTTGCCCCAGTGCATGTTCCACCGTCAAGATATCTCTCGAGTCTCCTGAGGTTCGGCGTCTCCGGAGCACCAGACCTGGCACCAAAATAGACGGAATGATCGAGACAATGACACAACCTACTGAAACTCCCTCTGACGTGCCGCAGTCAAGCCCTCAGAGTCAGAGACGGTCTTGTGCCCTAACGGCAACGTTCACCAGGGCTGCAGCTCCGACAGTTGCTCGAAGAGCTCCGCATCCGCCGAAGACGGCCTTGCAGTGCAATGGCGTGCAGGCTTGCAGGATGCGACTGTAATCTGCAGGCAAGCTTGGGCAGCGGCTCGAAGCCCTTCACGTAAGGATGCACTTCCAGGAAAGCCTTTCGAAGTTGAGTTCAGCCAGCAAAACCATAGTGCCATAGTGGGGGGAGCTACAGCATGTCAGCGAAGTCTGGCAGGTTGCAGAGCCAGGGTGGCGCATTGCAAGTCGTGTCTTGCTTCGATGTTGCTCAACTTACCAACCTACCAGAACAAAAGCCCTGACGCCGCGGGCGTCCCATACCTCCACATCATCATCCACCGAAAGCGAGGCAAACTTGTGGTTGGCCTTGGGGCATGATGCAGAATCCGGACAATCTGATGACTTCCGCGGACATCCTTGCTGCCAAGGGTCGGCTTTCCGGACCTGCAAGGAACCCTGCTTTTGGAAGGCCGGCCTCATGGATCGCAGTGTGCTATACAGTGCTACAAGATGGCTCCCTTCATGTCGGGTGCTGGCTTCTGCTCCTTTGCCCTGCCATTGATAGCGGCGGGTTCTGCAGCCCTGGCATCGCGTACCCCCTGTGACTGCGCAACTTTGCTCATCGAGCACATCCAAGCGTGTCGCAGGGCCACGGCGCCTTTGCTTCCGGCAGGCGTCCTTGAAAGGCCTGTCAGAAGACATGGTCAAGTGTGTCATACTGAACACACTGAACGAAAGAAAGGCTGCCTCGAACTGACGAAGTGGCTGGGAGCTTGGCATGGCCCTCAGCCATGCATTGACGCGTCTTCAAGATTCTGCTGGGACTGGTCCCAGTTGCACGAAAGTGTGCTTGCACTCAAAGGGCCAGGCTCTTTGTCCAGCTTTGCGATGAAATCCTCAGATCTTGTGACATGTTCACAATCCTGCTCAGGCTTGATCCCGAGCCAGCGCGTTGTGAGAACATGTCGGTGTCTTTGTTTGCAAAGCATTCGCTAAGGTACTGAGTGAGGAGAAAAGACCCGAGTGCGAAGCCGTGCTCGGATCACTTAGAGAGCGGGAGCCCCACCCCGTGTAGCCAGATGGTCGGCGGCGACTTTGGTAAAACTTCGCTACGACGTCATAAAGTTAGCATGAACCAGTGCTCCGACAATCATTCATGGTAAGCCGGGCAGGATATACGGGTAGAAGGGCTAAGCGACAAAGCTCACTCAAAATAAACCTCGAAGACCCTCTCGCAGTAACGCCTGACTCAGGCGAAAAAACAAACCACCACTTCCCAGCTCACATCCCAACCCTACGTGATCTCAAAGCATTGATCCATTCAAAGGCGCGATCATGGAGAAGGCCCCAAGGGGCTTCTCCGACTCCCTGGACCTGGCTGAGCTGAGACGTTTTTTGGCTACCATATGTTCCATGGCTTGTGTTCTAGGTAGAAATGATACTGATGAAAGCTATCATTGGTATTCTTGCTTTTCTTGTTTTTGCTATTGGCAGCACAAAAGACAGTCGACTCATGACTTCGACTTTGCCTCTCAGAGCGGCGCAGCTGTACATAGCTGTCGGCCTTCTGCGTCTGGGCTTGTCTACCCATGGTGGCCGGGCTGTCAAGCAGTCTGCTCACCCGGCTTTGCCCATCAGAAGCCAATACAGGTGCCGCGCACGAATTTTAGCCTTCTCCTTGTCTGCCTCTGCCTGGATCAGAAAACGAACTACTTCGAGGTGACCTTCCTCTGAAGCTACAGACAGTGGCGAAAGCCCAGTCTTGCTTGTCTTATCCTTATCTGCACCGGCAGAAACCAACACACGTGCCACATCGAGGTGCCCGGCCTCACATGCACAGAACAACGGAGACCTTCCGTGAATATCGGCTTCGTCCATGCACGATCCCGCTTCCAGCAACTTGGCAACTACTTCCAAGTGTCCTTTCTCAGCAGCAATCTGCAAAGGCACCGCTTGCCAAGAATCAGCCTTATCGATGTCGGCCCGGCTCTGGATCAACAGCTCAAGCACATCCAGATTTCCTTCTGCTGCCGCAGCTGAGCAGGGAGATGTTCCATACATGTCGGGCTTATCCTTCTCAGCACCTGCAATAATTAACAAGCGCACGATTTCCAGATGCCCATTTTCGCAGGCTCCCAACAGGGGCGATGTGCCCCAAATATTGCCTTTCTCCTTGTCCGCCCCAGCGCAAACTAGCAAGCGGGCAGCTTCCAAATGACCTCTCTGTGCAGCGGCCAGCAACGGGGGCGATTCCCCTCTGTCATGAATGGTCTTATTCACATCTGCTCCAGCTTCCAGAATCAGCTTGATTATGCTCTCATATCCGTTACAAGCAGCCAGGAACAAAGCCGTCCTTCCACATGAACCTACTTTATCTGGATCCTGAGGCTTACCAAGCAAAACACGTACAGTTGCCTCGTCCTCTTGGTCAACAGCAGACATCAGTTCCTCTGTAAACGCCGTGCAAGTTGGTACAAGAACCAGCTGCACATGTGCGGCACCTTGAGCACTGGCCGTGCATGGAAAATTTCCACCCTCGCACAATACTTGCCCTTCGCACACAAGCTGCTGGCGAAACGAGGGGACCCCCACAATATCCTGCAAGCGCTGCTTCAACGATCTCAAAGTGTTGCCCGAGCTAGAAAAGGCAGTCAGGCTCTCGGCATCGAAGCAGGCAATCTCTTGCCCAGAAACGAGGGTAACTTGAAGCATGCCCATTGCACTGTTTAGAGGAGTAGCGGGCATCAACAAGTTCCTCGATGATACTTGCATTCACGCGCTGTTCTGCATGATTTCACTGCCTCGGCCCACTTCTCTCTCTCTCTGTCATATTGTGGAAGCTGTGTAGGCATGAAATCGCTTTCGCAAGATCTGAGCCAACCAGCAAGCATTCGAGAGATGTCAGGACTGGAGCGAAAACTGCAAGTCCTAGGTCCTAGTCCGTGCGCTGATGTGCAACCGGCCTGAGGTTCACCGACAGAGCGTTTTGCTCCTCAGCACCCACCACGGCCACCTTATCACACGAAGTTCATGCAGGCTTTGAGAAATTGAATTCTTGGGAAGTGCTCTCGACTGGTACAGGCGCCCTGCATAGTTCCACTGTTCGAGCTGCGCCTCGCGCACCTGCTTGCAACGCGAAGGCGCACTCTGCCATGCTGTGAAGGTTTCACATAAATCTCGAAGATACATGCATGATGACACGTGGTTGTGTGTGTGTGTGGTGTGCATATGTGTGCAAGTCGCTGTGGATCCATCTCCCTCTCGTCTTCTCGCTGGGTTCTGGAGGACCATGAAGTCTTGTGTCAAACGTCAGGAAACCAATGTGAGAGGCGAGTGGGTGCCAGTGCAGCGGGCGAGGGATACCATATCCATATCTGAAAAGTCAGATTTCCATGGCACATCATGGCACATAGGTCAGTTCCCTGTTGGTTGGTCCTGCGTTGACGCTTACTCAGCAGGTGCATCTACAGTACTAGGAAATATGAAGCTGGTTCTTGGTTCCGTAGTTCCTCTTGTGTGGTAAACATAGGACACTTCTCTGTTTCACACCACAGGCGATGCTTTATGTAGGTTTTGTCTGGCTGCCCGAAGCCTCAACGCGAAAACAAGCCCGGTGTTTCGCTTTTTGGTAGGGTCTAGGGTTTGAGTTACACTACACCCCAGACGTCCGATCCTACCTGTAAACCCCTGAACTAAGACTGGAGTGGAAGCGATAAGCCTGGCATGTCGTTGGTTTGTGATTATGTAAACAACTCTCTGGGAGAGTTTCCTTTGTCAGGTTTTCGGGTTCATAAGCTTGTGTGCAGAGAATAGGGCTGGATTCGGAATTGGGTTCCTCATTACCAAACAAGGAGCAAAAAACAAAGCGGCAGAGAGAGAGTTGAGGGTTTAGGGTTTGTGCTTGTACTTCAGTAACAGACAGAGAGAGGGCGACAGAAATAGAGAGAGAGAGAGAGAGAGAGAGAAAAAAGTAACGAAGGGGCGAGAAGACTAGAACGAGCAAGAAAGCACGTTAAAGAAAGAGCGCGGGCTGGCCTTCTTGTTCAGCGTCTTCCCACTCGTCTCTGCCTTGCAAGTTAGCGCTGTCGGGTGCGAGTTCGCAATACTGAATTTGCAAACCGGGAGCCTCAGCGTAGAATCCGTAGATCTGAAGTTGTCTCTCCACCTGCACTTCAGAATTCGAGGATTTGCTTAGAAGTGGACTGGCCAGGTCGAGTTTCCATGCGATACATGTACTGGTGTGGCTTGGCTCCAAAAATGTTCGCGAGTCAACTGCTTCTGGGAGGTGTGCCCACAGAGCGTACTCGTTGAACTGCGTCCCGACAGGAACAACTTTGACCTGTCGGCTTCATGATCAGGCCAGTTGCTTGTCTCATTTGCTCACATCATGTGGCAAATGTCCGACAGGATGGAGTTGTCAACTCGTACATCTCTGAGGAGCTTAAGCATATGCACTGGTCCAAGACGGTCGATGGTGCAGAGAAAGCAACACGGGCAGTTTCCGAAAAGAGCCTTCTGTCGGGACACTTACCAGTCTAACCGTTCTGGCAGAAAAGTGATCGGGCACCTGCCGCGGTGAAAGCCAAAATGGCCACTTGCCAGCCTTGGAGGCCATGAGCTGAGGCGTGCAACTTGGCAGACTCCTGCCCACCAAACAGTTCAAAAAAACATCAGCAGTGCCTTTCCTAGGATTCCGACGTAGTGCTCCATGAGGATGGCAGACCTTCAGGTCATGGCTCAAACCCTCATTCTGATCATCTGATCATGGCATCTCGCAGCGACCGTCCACTTCGAAGCGATGTCCAGCATCACTCCCACGGATACTTGTTAAGGGGATTCACATTGCAGCAGTTCGCTACAGAAACTCATGCTGTTCCGGATGGCACAAATGCGGAGCCTCCTAATAGAGATGATTGGGCTGTCAGAATAGGCGATGATAACTCTGACAGCAGCTAGAAACATGCAACCGACCATGGCGACTGCTGCTGCTGCTGCTGCTAGTGCTAACGGCTTAAAGAAGCTACTGCCACTGACTACCACTACACTACCACCATTGAGACTACTGTTAATTGCGGCTGCTACCCGGACGACGACGACGACTGGTACTGCGACTGCTACCCGTTTTACTACTCCTCCTGTGGCTGCTGTTGCTACTACTCATACCACTTCTAGCGATGCAGAAGCAGAGCCTAACCGAAGCAACGTGTACAACAGACGAAGCAGCAACTGCAGCAACAGCGACTGGGTGGCCACGATAAGACGAACACAGATCACAACGCCATTGCCGCTGCCCGCACCAAGAGGTACCACCCCCGAACACAACAAGAGCAACCGCAGCAACATCAATATCATCACCATTATCATAAGCAGCATTGCTGTCATCGTCTTCAGTGCACGGCAACAGCAATTAAAGGACCGGATAATTAACCCCACATGACATTTTTACTCGTGTGCCAACTGAGTCAAAGGAATCATGGCAGCTAAACCTGTGCGTGCGTGCGTGTGTGTGTGTGTGTGGGTGTGTGTGCGTGCGCGCGCGCGTGCGTGCGCGTGCATGTGTCTCTCGCTCTCTTTCTCTTTCTCTGTCTCTCCCTTCTTCTTCTTCCCCAGGGCATGAGGGGTCGGTTAGACCCCCCGGCCAGTTGGTCCCCCACAATTCATGGGGTTTTCAGGGGGTGTGAAAAGTTTGCTATTTTCCGGAGTTTGCTCCCCCGGGCAAGCACAGCTTTGGGACACCCATGAATTCTCCTCTGGATGTTCCTCTCCCTCTCTCTCTCTCTCTCTCTCCCTCTCTGAGGGAGGGAGGGAGGGAGGGGGAGGAGAGGGAGGGAAGGAAAGGGAGGGAGTGAGTGTCTAAGAAAACAAAAACCCACAGTGATTTGGGGAACAGAAACAGCAACAGCAATAGAAACAGAGCAACAGCAATCGCAGGATCAACCGTAGTCATCACATCAACCGTCGCACCAACACAGGCTCCAGAAACTAGCAGCCGCAACCAATGTACCATTATTTATCATTTCAATCAAAGTCTTAAAGTCTCTCTTGTAGGAACTTGTGCTTCGGGATGCTTCAGAGGCCGCTGCATCCGCTCGACCGACCCCAGAATCGCTCGATGGATGACGACCTGGGCAGTCGTAGAAGGGCCGAAGTCAAAGCTGTCTGGGCTGCAGGGGGGAAGAAGACGGGAAGAATCGAAAGAGACGAGTCCCAGTCGGAGAGGATAGGGTGGAAGTCAATGTGCTCTGAAGCGTTCGTCTCGGAAACTCTGGGGGTCAGCACCGGGCGCTCGAACCCGTTCTTCAAGCGGCCCTCACGCCAAATGACCTGCACCCGACTTCAAGCAGAGCTGCAGGCTACAATAGCTGCCCATGTCAAAGCTGTCGCGACTTCGACGAGCATTTCCCGGCTGGCATGCATGCTCATCGCACCTTGCAAGTCGCCTTTTCCATCAGCATCTTGGCCCGGTGCCCTGCACCCCTACCGAAGAATACCAGAAGTGATAAGCAGCGTCACTGTCGACGCTGTGCCAATCAGGACCCCTGCCACAGCGAAGGTCACCGGCAGGACCTTTCAGTTCGTGCCGCGCGTTTGACCGTTACTTCCAATTATTTCTTAGTGGTCCCCACCGCTGTTAGAACAGTAGTTGAACTCGCGCTGTGAGGAGTGACTCTCTTGCTACATCCTCCGACCCTTCAACCTTCAAGTGCAGTAGTGCAGTATAGTGCAGTCCTGCCTTGCCCCAAATGGACTTGTGGACGCAGCTGGCGCACATGCCGGGGAACACAAACCTTCGCACGAGCCAGGCAACCACAGGATCAGAATGCAGCACAGACAGCAAGTAAACACCGCTTCAAGCCAGATCGCATAATCGCCGTGGTGCAAACGGCACTGGTAAGCCCCAAAGGCAGCGCCAGCGCACCATCCAGTGCCCTGAGCAGGAACCGAAGGCGGTTCTGTGCACTACTATCGAGTAGTGTAGCAGATGCACATGCGAGATGGGTAAACGAACAGAGCTGGCACAGAAAGCGAGCCTTGCCACCAGAACCATGCTGGCAACAAGTATGGTGGTGGAGACCATCCGCGTCACTCCTGGGTGCAACGGGGCCGGGAGAACGGTGTGATCTAGTGATGCGGATCTGACATGTCATTCAGGTGCCAAATGTTGCAACCCATCCTTGTCCTTCGACGCCTCAAATCGAACAGCTGAAGCCGCAAGACAAGTGGTTCAAGGCATGATAGCGGGAAGCACACCTGCCAAGCTTACCAACGACCCCTCTGAAGGATTGCAGCTTTTCCCAATCAAGGATTGCGACATCAGTTCCTCTTGTCGCTTTTGCTAGGCTGAATTCCACCCGAGAGGTTGGGAGATTACGTGTGCATCATGCACACCGACCACAGCTGTCAAACCACAACCTGGAGCAAACTGCGACAGCGGGGCCTCTCGGCGAATCCGAGCTGACGCCAAACCAAAGATGGCAGAGTGCTGCACGTGCTAGGGGGATGTAGACTCCTGGAGCACTACATCCTACATTGCGAGGCTGGCACGAAAGTGCAACTGAACTCACGAAAGGGATGTCTTGGTCGTGCTCCTACAAGGTCTTCGTTGGGCCATTTCTTCTCCCGCATCTAAGCTATGAAACCTTGATCTGAACGGTGGAGAAGTTGTCCTTGTACCAAAAGATTCTAAGATAGCTGGGTCTCTCTTTGGTAAAGGCTGTTGCATGAAAGCTGGTGGCCCCTATGGGCCGCTTTACAAGAAACGCAGGCACTGCTTTGTGCGTTGCCTGCGAAGTCGTGCATGCACTGAACATCCGATATGCCATCAAGCATTGAGTTGAATAAAAACTCTTACATCCTGGCTTCCCTTTGGAAAGAAGACCTTGGGCCCAGTTAGCAGATCCGGCCAGGGTATGCTTCATCTAGATCGGTTACTGTGGGTCATCTAATCTGCAACTGGCAGTAGCCTTGCCGAGTCCTGCACAAGCAGCTGCCAGCTGCAGCGCCAGGGCCAAGCGAGCCACGAGGCTTGGCACGTGGCTGGTCGGAAAGCCTCATACGTGGGCTCTCGAAACTCAATTTGTCCTCTGAGGTCCTCTGGGCTCAGGGCCATCAAGGACGTTGTCGGGAGCTGCACCGCAGAAAGCAACATAGCCTGCCGCAGCTGAAACCTGACCAAGTCCACGGCCCGAAGCTTTGCAGGCATAGTCAATCTGTGTTTCGGGCAAGAAGCCATGTAGTCCAGCAGGGCAAAGGTTTGGGCCACCCAAATCCTCAGATGCTTGCACAGCATCATGCGGGACTGAATTCGCGGTAAGGAGGAATCAAATTGATTTTGTGCTGCATGCGCCAGGAGTCAACGCAACCACGTCCTTGCGATGAGGCTGAATGTTGGCCAACTTCCTGCAGCAAATCAAAAGGAGCAGCTGCCAAAGACGCCGCCGCAAAGAGAGCGAACTACATAGCCACATAGCTCATGTTAGCTCTGCCTCATCGAAGGCCAAGTCATGCCAAGTCGCTGGGCTACCATCTCCGAGCGGATGGATACAAATGCGGTGGCCGCCTTGCGTTGGTGCCAGGAAAGCTTGAGAAAAAACTCTACCAAGTGATGAAAAACACGACATTCGGGCAACAGGTAGACATCGTCTCTGGATGCATTTATTCATCAGGCGAGCAGCGTTCATGCAGAAACTGAACATTGGCACGGCGGATAGGAGTTCTTTGGGTGAAGATACCCACGCAACGGGCTCCAAGTTACCTTCAGCGAAGCGGATGCGCCGAGCAGTGGCTGTGATATGTGGGCATCCACCGATGATCCCACTCCCCGTGAGCCCTCATCCCCTCGGTGATTTCTAAGGCCAACAGACAAAACGTGCAGAGGGGGCCTCGGAGGCTGTCCAGATTCAACACGTCTGCAACATGTGTAGCCCTCTCGGCCGACCTTCCATATCCATCTTGTTTCAAATTCCTCACAAGCCCGGGTGAAACGAGGCACACCTTCTGAGATCTGGAAGCAATGTCTCACTGGAGTTGGTTGATGACAGCGCTTTTCGATGACGCTCTCAGTAAATATTAAATTATATATATATATACACACACATATATACGTATCTCTCTCTCGCTCTCCCTCCCTCTCCTGCTCCATTGCTGCTACTTCCTGCCATCTGCATACTTCGCTAGTCACAGACGAACATCCGCAAGAACTCGCCTGCATGCAGGTGTTCAGCCAGTGCATCGTTGCAGAACTCAACAAAGGGCCAAGAAGGCTTCCACGGAACCATGCAAACCTCGAGTCTCTTCGGGATGCAGAGTGATTGAGGGAGACGGTCCAACATCAACTCATTGCCCAGATGGTCAGAGCAGCCACGATGATAGTGGTAAGGGTCATACCTGACATACATCGACTCAAGGACACACTTCCAGTGCCAGACCCTGAATGCCGCGTGCAAAAGTAGCTACAGATCGACAGGAGCACAGGTGCTGACATGTTGTGCGCAGAGAAGATGCTGCCACTTCAAATCTCCAATGATTGCTGGCGGCCGGGGGGCAGAAAGTTCCGACGGCCCCAGACAAACGAAGCAGCGTGTCCTTGTCGGTTGCTTTGTGCTCGGAGAACCGAAGCTGGGTTCAGGGATCTTGTTGGTTTGCCTTGTGCTGAGAATCGAACTGAGTTGAGGGCTTCACGAGAAGCACGCAAGGAAACATGCACATGCGCACACACACACACACAGAGACGCACTCACTCACTTACCTATCTTTTGTATTGCGGTGTCGCACAGCAGTGAGAATTTCGGTCATGCACACGAGGCGGTAAGAAGCTCGTTTTGGGCTACTGGGGTGCAGCATTCATACACACTCCAGCGCTCGAGCGGCAGCATGCTTATGACTTGCGAGCAAGGGTCAGGCAGGAGGGAGAGCGGCAGCACAATTATAACCGCCACTGCCGATATCAGATTCCTGCTCAGTTGTGGCTGCTGCACATGCAGTCCAAGCATGTCCCAAGCCCAAGAGCAAACGGGAGCAGCCTCTGAAGGGTCTCGCTTGGAGCTCCAAGAATGAGCTGGGCGAAGACAGTCAACTGCAAGGCAAGGTCAAGGATGTTGCATGCTTGCTGCAGAGGTCCCTCACATGCCACATTGGTGATGGAATCGTTCCATGCCTCCGAGCCAACGACGCCAAGATATGACACAGAGAGGCCGAAGCTGTACAGAAGCCTCAGAGGACACAGAAGTGCCCAGAAGAGCCTTCGGATGCCCCGTCGTTGGAGGAGGCATGGCTACGGTATACAACAGAAAGGGCCAGGCAGCGGCCATAACCTAGACATGGACGGGTCTAGACTCGACAGCTTAGCTGGTTCCAGCTCCAAGCCGCATGAACATCTCCAGCGCATACCTCACAAGTGATCTTGTGAAAGCTGCCAGCAAAGCCGTCGAAATTGCTTCCGGAATCTGTGCTATTGCATGTCGAGAGGCGCACCAGGCTTGCCCAGAACTGAAGCAACCATGTTAGCGTAAGACCTCATCTGTAGCTCCCCTAAATTTTTACACATACCTAAACCACTCATAGTTCACTGATCTGTAGTCCCTCGCAGCCAAGAACAGCTTGGATCGCGGCCCAGCATCGGCAGCTCTGGGGAGTGAGCGGCAGACCTCGTCCAGCAGATAGAGGTTGTAGATGCTCCTCAAAGACATCCGGAGTTTTGAGCTCTAGGCCCTTGGGGCCGTCTAGGGCCCTTAGGGCCTCAAAGTTTTCAGTTCTCTTCCTCTCTGTGCAGGTGAGGCACACGAAGAAGAAGGTCAACAGAAGTGTGCCGCTCCTTAACTCCCACAGATGGTTTCGGTTCTTCCGCAAGAACTGACCGCCGGGTTGCTGGAGCCATCCCACAGAGGCCGTCGTCCATGGGAGGGTTAGCGCACCAACTCCAATGGTTGAAAGAACCTCAGATGCTTTTCCATCTTTGGCGGCCAAGCGGCGCCGCACGAAGCTGAAGCGTAGCAGGAGCGGAGGTGTTCGTAGACAATTCTTCTGGGCCAGGGGAGAGGTGGGCGGACACTGGGACCTTGCCCCCACTTCGCACTCCAGGAATGACCGGAACCCACCTGTTCTGCAAGCTGCACGGAGCTATATGTCGTTGTTGATGAGAGGATCATGATTACAGCCCTGCTGTGCATCATGCATGTGCAGCAGAAGACAGCCCTCCCCGCAATAGAATAGAAGGCGCACCAGATTGAGGGAGCTTGTGCGCACACTTGCACCTTGCCACAGGGCATGACGTCAGCACAAAGGAGTTGCTGCGGGCTCATGTCTGTCAATCTTCATTAAGCTCGCCATAGACAGCAGTGCGATGTGGCTATGTGGAGAGGGGCCTTTACCGGTTGTTTCGATAACAACGCTCTGCTTGTGCACCAGCAGAGTGCTGTAGGCAGACTTCACGTCGTCGAAGTTTTGGGAATCACGGGCGATCAGCAGCCCCACTGACGACATGGTGATCTCGCGTCGACTTTACTGGTGCTTTAACTGCCGAAAGGGGTTCTGACTCAACTTGGATAGTGGCTTATTGGGGGGAACAAGAGCTGCAAACCTGCGACGTTTGAACTGTTCTGCCACTTGCTCCGCAAATACACCGCTTGACTGTCCTGCGATGCTCCTCCTTCTCAATTGGGCCTGAATCTGCGGGGACGTTCAGCTGCAAATCCAGGTGCATGGCAAAAGGATGCGGAAAAAGGCTGGTCTCGGCAACTCACGACACAGGTTCGCGACTGCTCTTTTTCCTGCTAGTTGCTATCTTTCTGCTGCCAAAAATCGAAGGAGATGGCTTCCCTAGGTCTACTGTAGTTCAGACATGCTGGGTGTGCAGTGGGAAGCATGGGAGAGTGGCCAAGGTGCTGCAATGAATGTGCTGTCAAAAGGTCAGAGCCTAACTAGTTCAGACGGGTAGTTCAATGCACAGTCCGCGAGGCTCAGCCTGTGCTCTTCTATGCCGCTTGTGCCTCAGAAGTAAGGCTTTCCATCGCTCATTGGCTGCATTGCATACGGGTGCAAAAACAGGTCCAGCAACTTGTCGGTGGACGGCGTGGTCCTTCGCCATGTAGCTGTTGGATCTGTGAACACAATCACTTGCCGAAGAAGGTAGTGTCGACCTTGGTCGGAGAGAGTTTGCAACTAGAATCCTCCGAGGCTTTCTACGAGGTCCGTCAGGCATGTGCATGTCCTCGCAGTTGTTGCATGTCCTTGTCATGCTGCCTGTCATCAAGCTCGTTGAAGGCAGCTACAGAATCTACATAGCCTGCTGGCTCGACAGCTACGGAATCAAGTTGAGCACACAGGGCTCAGAATCACCTCAAGTAAGACATGGTGTCTGGACAAGTAGCATCACGGATATATGCCGCAAAATACGGGTCGATGGTCTTGATGGAAACGTCCTTCTTCACAGGCAGACCTTTCAGCGTGTCCTGGGATATGAAACCGGCAAGTGCAGTGTCTGCAGCTGCAACTGAACCACTCAGGCACTTTGAGCACAAGCATATGCTTGCCACAGGCTCCACTTCCAGGAAAGTCACCTTTGTCTTTGCCTGACGTTGCGGCAGACTGACAGTGCTCTCTGGGAATCCTGAGGACACCAGCCTTGGCCAGCGCTGTTTCGACCTCAGCAATCGCCAGCTCTCAAGAGCTTCGAAAGGATAGCTAGGTCGACAAAGGCTTCGCAATGTATCCTTCATCAACTTTATAAACATGCGATGCGACACTAAGCAGACGTAAGCTGACTTGGGGGATTGGCGGAAACCTTCGAGATGGCCGGGGCAAACTCCGCCGCCCCACCGCGGTAGCTCTTCACGGCCTCAACATGGGGAAAACCAGGAACATCCAAAAACAAATAAAACAAACACACAAATTATTATTACTACTACCATTTCTACGATTACTATTACCATTCATACTGATATTGCTATTATATTGTTAATGAATATTAATGCCTAATAGTCCTGTCTACCTAGCGGTCCCTTCAGGCTCCCTCACACATCTGGCGTGCCTTGAAGATCGTCGCGCTGCCACCGATCGGAAGGCGCTTAAAGACGTGAGACATGACCTCCCGTTGCAGACTGCTTCGGCCCTGCCCTGCGCCCAATTCTAGGCCTGCAAACATGTCCTGAAGACCTCCCCTGGCGAAAGCTTAAGCCTGGCCTCCGACTCCTCTCAATCGCGCCAGAAGACAGGAGCTGCTGAGCCTAAAATGATTGCGGCCGAGCTCCTTCAGACCAGCAGGCATCTCCCTTAATCGACTGCCGCATTACCGAACGGGGTGCATTGCCACAATCCAGGCAAATAGCTCACTGAAAGTAGAATGCATGTTGGAGAAGATCAATGATGAATGCCCTGCTAAGGATAAAAAGATGGTACAGTGCGGCCACGTGGACTGGCTCTGGCACGGTAGCAGCAAGTGGAGCTCGTTTCGAGGCTTTCGCGGTGTGAGGCAGCAAGAGTGACAGGAACCGACGAGAGCCCACCTCGCCCTTGGCGTTCTTCTCCTCCGCGCCCTTGAACCTGCATCCCGCGGTCCCATTTGGACGACTGACCCATGGTGCACAAAGACACCGCATGGCCACCATGTGCTAGGGTTCGGACTCCACCTTCTCCTGCAGGCACATTAGAGTCTCTTGGAGCCGCCCTCACATTACTCTCCGTCTCAAAAGCCAGGCTTCCAATCTCAACACTGCCGACCCGGAGAGTCACTTTCAGTCCTCGTCCTCTGCGACTTCTTCGACCCCCTCTTTGCGGTACTGCAGATTGAACCTGACATACTTTGATGCCAGCTATGGCGCCATGACCATAGTCCAAGCGAGACAGCACGTGCCACGACGCACCTGATGGGGCCGTTGAAATCCAGCTGAATCCTGAGTTCGGACATGATCCCGAAAAGGACTGTCCACAGCCGCAATCGGTAATAGGCACCGCTGTTTGTGCATTTCCGCCTTGCATCGCTCAAGCTCACTTGCACTGTCCCGATTCGAGTGGAGATACCGAGCCGAGATGCTAAGAGCAACTGCCTGATAGCAGGCTGTGAGAGCCCTCCCGTAGCAAAAACAAAATAGTTACCGAGGCCGGTCCGACACTTTCGTCTCCACGGGCCTGCTGGGATGGCGGTGGGCTGTCGCTCACAAACGTCACAGCCACTGCAACCACAACAATCGTGCCCTCGCAGATGTAAGGACAGGATTTCGAGTTCTTCAAGTTTCAACACAAGATCGCCAACGCCGACATGAAGCTTCATGTCCTCGCTAGTGACCTGGCATTCTATATTGAAGCACTCAAAAGTCTTGCCATCTTCGCAGGCGCTTGGGGCTTGACTTCCGTCGCCGACCGGCAGCTTCCTCGCGTGGAGCAACCACGAGGAAGCCGCCTCCCCAGCGGCGCAGCTGCGCCCCGCACGCTCCGCAAAGCGGACAAGGTCTCGGCCGCCCTACTCTCTGTGCCCTCGCCCTAGCCGGACTTGCCGCGGCATCTGGCGCTGAATTATGGTGGTTGCCGACAGCAGCCTGCAGGTTGCACATCATGTCATCCAGTGACAAGATTGGCATGTCCTTTTGCCGCCAGAGCAAAGACACTGCTGGGATGCTTTCGTGCATGATAGAATCAAGCTTGCGAAACTCCCCTCGTCCGTCCTCGCATGAACACCCCGCTCTCTTCGACGTTGTGAATCTGCGGCTCTGCAACGATGAGGGACTTTCCATGTGTCCCCATGTCACAGTTCCATGACCTGCTGAAGCTCCAGCTCTAAGCAGTTGATCTGCTTCGTGCTGCTGCTTCAGCAGGCCCATACCGTTCCGAAGATCAGACAGGCTCTCTCCGCTGTGGATAGAGCGGCTGCCGCTCCGGCTGCGCGTTGCGACGGCCGCAGATGCAGGAAGTGGTGCGGCAGACAGTGCAGAAGCAGAAGCATGAGAAACAAGTCACCATTCGGCAATGGAGTCTGGTGCTCCGCAATGCTAGCTTCAGGTTCTAGGCAGATTGAGCCACAGTGCCTTCGTCCAGCCTCCTGTCAGACCGCAGTTCACCTGTGTTCTGCTGCGCAGACCTGCGCAGATACCAGAGCTGAGTCTGGGGCGTTCCACACTGATGCTTTCTCTTCATCGCATCCTGGAGCCTGTGATGTTTCACGCGAAGTGCTTGCTATTGAGTCATTACGTCGACCCTTGCATGCAGCAGCATCACACTGTGTGCGCGTGCAAACCTGTTCTGCTCTGTGCAACAGAGACAGCCCCTCTGGAGAGCGCTGGCCTGATGTCAATCTTGGGACCTTGCAGCACGGCAATTTCACCGGCGCTCTCTATGCAGTTTTGAACGGTCAACATCCCGGAGGCTAGCCTATCGAAGTTGCTGTTTGCAAGCATTTGCAAGTTGCTTAATGGGCGCTTGGTCTCGGGATTCAGCATGTTGCATAAAGGCACCGTCAATTCCGATGCTGGATGCCCAAATTCCAGATTATCAGCATGAACCACATTGATTTGGAATTGTTTGTCGTTTGCGAATGCCTTCGGACTTTCAGGAAAACTGCATAACGTTGGATCGGGTGGACTAAGTCGACTATACCCTTACCGTCCAGACGCCCCCCATCAGTGGTACACGTAGCCTTGGACCTTAAATTCTAAAACCCCGACCCTACAGAACCTAAGGCCTGCAACCCCGAACCCTCAAACCGCAAAGACCTAAAAACCTGAACACAACTAAGCTGAACTCCGGAAAGTCAGAAAGCCCTACAACAGACCCAGCACGACCGGTTTAGCCCAGGCAACCGTAGAAAGCGCCATCGCCGGGGTTCAAGGACCTGAGAAGCGGCACAGAGAGGGACTGGTCTAGAGAAAGATGGACCAGAATACAGACAATAATCACACTGTGCACGTCTATTTTTGGACTTTTGCATTTCTGCATGTGAGTCTGTCTCTCTGTCTGTCTGTCTGTCGGTCCGTCCGTCCGTCCGTCCGTGTCTGCCTAAACGCATGCATGCACGTCTACATTGATATACAGTATGCATTAAACAGGGGTGTGTGTGTGTGTGTTTTTGCTCTTTCATGCTTATCATTGTAGGGAGAGCTGTCCTGGGAAACGCCACTATGCCACTATGCATCATCTGTTCATCTGAAGTAGTAGCACGGTACGTTCAGCAACTGTGTGCCTGGCCACTCTCGCCCAGATTCATCCAAAGCGGCCTGTCGAATACTAAAAGCCAAGAATCGTGCTGTGAAGTTGCTCCATGTGAAATTTCCGGCCTTGAGCTGGACCTCTGCGTTGTCCCAGATTTCCTTGGAGCCGAGCGCCTTCTTTGGCCTGGTTTTGGGCATCCGGTGCACAAGACCTCCAGCGACATCTCATGGGCCTCGTGGAAAGGGCGTAGCTGGCCTGCAACAACGGGTGCGTGTGGTGGACACTTCGCGGCAGCGCAGAAGTGGCATCTCGGTGCCACTGCCTTGAACCCAAAAATCTTGTACACAAAGTCCAGGAAATCCAGGGCACCTCCGGAGGCATGACCCCTTGACAGAAAAACCGTCGGGGTGAAGAGAGACAAAAGGCACCAAACACCAGCAGCTTCCGCTCTCGCTCGGCTCTCAGCCTGGCCTGAGACCTCCGACTTGATCTGGTCCGGGCGACAGAAGATGTGTGCATCCTTACGATAGCTCGCTCGCTTCAAGACGGCAAAGGAGATGACGGCAGGCAGAGGGGGGGGGTGTTCCGGGCACCTCACATCTTGCTGGAATCGCCGGACACGCGTCAAGCCCGTGAGAGCTCCCGAAGCCTGCGGAGCTGCGCTCGAGATCATGTGGCCCTTGAGAAACCAGTAGGACGTTGCCAGAAAGTCTGAAGATAGAGCCTCATTGCGATGCAGGACACCGAAATCAGCAAAGCGGAGTGGCAGCTCCTGCGAGAAGAAAGGTCAAAGATAATGCGGAGTCCAGTTCAGGGTTGTTCTATGAAGTCTGATGCAGCATCCTTATTGTCCAACCTGATACAAGTAGCAAGCCCGTGAAGCAGACAGTCAAGCAGCGCTACTTGAGTAGCATCTTGCACCTTGCCTTGTAGCTCCTGACCCTGGCATCGAACATGAGGAAATGGCCGGGGCAGTTCATGGGCTTCAGCATCCACCTTCGTGCTTTCGACTCCAAGGGATCACCTCACAAGCTCGAGAGCTCGGAATCCCGGCTCTTGCTTCTCCACGTCCAAGCTGTACATGTCATCCTCCAAGTCGCCAAAATGCTACAACTTCTTGCCGGAATAAGACATGTTGCAATCTGCCTTGTAGTTCTGGTAGTGGCCAGACGTCATGAAACATCGCGCGTCGTACCTCACGCGGGCGGTACAATGGCCACGACGAAACGGTCTTCATCCATACCGCTTGCAGAAACGAAGAAGTTTGGCTGAGCCCGTACAGTCATCAATGGAGTCAACGTAAGGTTTGCTGCTCCAGCTCAGGCGCATGTTGGGCGTCACGACTTCCTGTCCAAGTAACATCTAGTAGCTGGTCGACGCTCCAGGAACTTGATACCAAAACAGAGCAGAACTATGGTGGCTTTCTACATTAATTACTCAGTCGGCAAGGCCCAAGACCACACTTCTTTCACCTAATCCCAATGACCTAGTGAGCTAGTGGCCCCTCCCGAGCATGACCCGTGCATATGGTCGAACAGCGTCGCAATCCGCGAGTCAACGCGAGAAGACATGAGAAGATCAATACCGTGAGCTGGATTCTGTTGGTGCAGATTTTCCAGCCACAGCGCGCATTGTGCACACTAACACCGGTGAAAGCAGAGACTGCATGCACGGTCCAGGCATAAGGCAGGAAAGAAGCAAGAGCGGCCGTGATAGAAGCTGCGTAGGTTTCTTCTAGATTCTAGGCATTGGGGTTCGCTTGCTGAGCCTACAGAGCATCTCGTGCCCGCACTACTTGCCTGCAAGCGCTCGATTGAGGCTCTGGCAGAGAACCCGCGCAGGCGATACTCAGAGCGCATGAAGTCCATAAGCTTGTTGTAGATCCTCACTGGTGCACGATGAGACTTCACGGCAACCGCGGAGGCAAAGCAGCCGATCCTCACGCCGGGCGGGAACCAGAAGCAGCTTCCCGGTGACATCACCGGATGGAACCTGGAGGCTGGAGAAGAGTTAGGCTTCTGTTGGGCAGATGTCTCACATGGCCAAGCTCGCAGCATGAAGAGCTCCTGCGCTTTGCCGATGTTCCTGCCACGCAAAGGGAAGCCACAGTGTTGCAGTTGCACTCAAAGGACTCACAGGAACATCCGGTTGGCTCCACTGCGAAGTTCGAAGGCGAACCATCGACCAGACTTCTCAGGAAAGTTGCCCTACGTGTGTGCTGAGGGAAGCTGTCCTCAAAAGAGCTCCTCAAGCCAATGTCAATTGCCGCAATCACAACACGCGCGCGCACAAACACACACACACACACACACACACCCACACACACACACCCCCACCCACCCACACCCCTTCAAGTGAAATGGTGCCTGTGATCTCGCTTTGCGGCTTCTTCCTGGAACTTCTTGTACTCCTGAGCCAGCTCGGAAGGAAGATCTTGAAATTTCTCGGGAGCAAGGCGCCAGAGAGGAGGCTCCACTGTCCTTGAGCAGCTTGTCGTTGGGGAAGGCAATGCCGTAGAGGCGCTGGAGTGAGTCTAAGTTCTGGTCACCCAGCCTCAGCTTTTCGGTGCTTTTCAATGCACCAATCTGGCATCTAGCTTCCCTTACTTCCCTTGCCTTTTCAGATTCCCCTCCAACATTGGAACTGTCACCACGGCACAGTTACGGCTGGAAGCCACTCTGGTGGTGGCTGAGACTGCCATGTGCAGCCTTATAACGGGTGCACCGCGGCTGTGGCGGCTGTGGCGGACTCAAAATCTGTTGGTAGCTGAAGCACAAAGTTGGAATGCCTCGCCCAAGGCTGAGGTTGTTCTAAGGCCCTAACTCTAAACCACACTAAGCAATCTGCACATCTTGCGAAAATCTGACAGCAGGTCCATCACCGAACCTCTGCCGAAATCTAGTTTTCTACGGCATTAGGAGACTATGGCTCCTTCTAAGCGTCCTAAGTGCCTAAGTCCTAACTGAATTACACCCATAAGGATCGCTGATCTCTCGTCCAAAGATCCAGGGCATGCAAAGTTTGCTCATGGCTCGTGGAGGCTGCCATTTCCATCTTCGTCTGAATAGGCCATCTGCCGTACACGCCGAAAGGGAGGAACGCATCACCCCGTCAGGGTGTGAGTCCAAGGCCATGGAGACAGAGGTGAGTCCCACCCAAACGATGCCGATGTACTGGCAGTACTGGCAGTACTGCTCCTCTGTGTCCGGGATCCTTGGTCGATCTCACCACAACAGGGTAACGAAGCCTGCGAAGCCCACGTGCTTGGGATGCAAGAGTCGCTGGTTCTGTTGATAGTGGGACTCGCAGCTGCCTCCACCAGAAGACGGACAATGCCCGCATCACCCAGCCGAGCAGCTTCCCACACCACTGAAGTGCCTGTGACGTCTGATCTGTCAACATCAGCGCGTTCCTGGATGAGATACTGAACGACATCCCAATGTCCGCTGAGTGGATGATCTCCCATTGAATCTTTGTTGGCACCGGCCTCCAGCAGCAAACGAACACTATCCGTGCGACCAATCTCAGCAGCGTTCCATAACACCGACTTGCCATCCTCGTCTTTTGCCTGCACGTCTGCCTTGGCCTGAAGCAATATCCGGAGACAGCGTGTGTCGCCAAGCTTGGCCACCACATGCAGAGCTTGGGTACTCCCCACATCCTCGACGAGGTTTGGATGCATGTGCTGCAAGAGCGGTTCAGTCTCCAGCAAGACTTGGACTACATCGAGATGGCCTCTCCGACATGCAACGCACAATGGATATTCCCCTCCGTTGCTTGCTGCGTCCATCCGGGCACCACCCTCGAGCAGGACCCGTGCAATGCCGCTGTTCCCCATAGCCGCGGCGTGCCACAAAGCTGACCTGCCATCTTCGTCCAGGGAAGACGACTTTGCACCAGCTTGGAGTAGGCAGAAGACGCAGCGCAGGCTATCAAAGGTAGTTGCGATGTGGAGAGCTCTGCCTCGGCCTGTGTTCATTTTCAAGTCGGGGTCGACACGCCGCTCGAGAAGCTGCTGCATGTCAGCAACATTATCCTTCTCGGCCGCAGACTGCATCTGCATTCGATCGTCGTATGTGGCAGGGAGAAACGGCAGAATCACCAGCTGCAAGCTTGCTGGAAGGCTCAATGCGGACAGAACATCGGCATCTTGCACCACCTTATTTTCATGAATCAGGTGTTGTCGAAATTTGGACAAGCCGAGAGTCCGCATCAAGAACAGCTTCAGTGCCTCCGTGGAATTGCCATAAGCCTCCATAATGGCTGAAAGGTCGTGCTCAGCCAAGCAGGCGACGACCTCCCCACACATGTTGTAGATGACAAGCTCTGCATGGGGCCTCTCTTGCTGCATCTGAGCGCAGCAACAGTGCACATTGGCACCGGGCTCTACGGCTCTGAGGCAAACGAGCCACGGGAAACGAGAAGAGCGAACCACATCCAAACAGAAAGCAGCTGGGTAAACTGTGAACGAAGAGCCTCGTTCTCGCAAATACATGTAATCTTAACCATGCACGGCTTCGTTTCGTGGATTGTGTTCAATATTATCCTTGTGAACATTTTCCGATCGGGATGCTGCGCATCATTCACAGTTTGAACAATGCTACATGTTAGCTGCACCGGGGTATACCAAGTCACACACCAATATGCAGCGGAGTTCTTCGTCACCAGGAATGCCTGGCTGGGACGGAACCATCTCACTCTTGACACGAGGTCGAAGAACGGGAAATCAGACCAGCTTTCTTGTATGAGGTTTTGCTTGCCGGAAGGCGTTTCTCCACGCGCGTGGGGTTCCCTCTCTGGTTCCTTCTCTGTAGCCTTGCATATCTAATCTTCCGGAAGAAGTCGCGGCGATCGCCTTGGCCCGGTTCGTGTTTGGCAAATGAGGTCCACGGCAAAGGTCGATCAAGTCTCCGCAGCGATAGCCTGACACGCACGGACAAGCAGCCATGCCCTGGTAATCTGGTGAGACTGTCGGCACCGTGACAGAATGATTAGCTCCTATCTGCTACAAGTGTGAGCCAAGTCAGCCAGAGTGACAGCTCGTGAGAGCATCGTCTGGAACCTGCGCACTCAAGATTGCAATGACTACTGCGAGCAAGTGATGGAGTCTGCCTGCTTGTCCCTTCTGGCAATTCAGTAATCCAGCGCGTGCGACAGTTACACCGGCCAGTCTTCAAGCGGCTGTGGCTACCGGCTCTCACTCGGACCTGCCTTGTTCGTGATCAACTGCACCTGACCAGAACAATTCTGCTTTACCTTTACGACTCTTCTCATCGATACGTTGTTGCCACTGCGACTACTGCTGGAAGTGACTTGTCGTCATTCCGCGTTTGCAACAGTAATCACAGCAGCTGACGCTTTTGAGCTTTATCGCCACTACTACCACTGCATCGGAGATGTCCCAAAGTCCAAGGAGATGCAAAATAGGTCGTGATGTCGGAAGTCCCAGCTCCCACTCTTGAACGTGCGCATGCAACGCTTGTATGCTGCCGTATGTTGCACTTTTGGCGATATATGCAAATACCATCGTAACACAGCAGCAGCAAACGCCCGAACCAGTCATCACACTATAAAACAATGCATGCAAACCAGGCAACGGCAACGTTGTAACACCAAACGAACAGAGTGACATTACAAAGGCCGCCCACCAGTGCTCCTGCAACGCATGAAGATTCCTTGTACCACACCAGTGGCACGCCCGGGACCTGGACCCGGCCCACCCCGCCTTGAATGGGTTCTCCTTGAAAAGCTCTAGAGCCTTCACAAACCGTCGGGCCAAGTGCAAGCACTTCCATGGAGCCTAGACTTTGTGTGGCAATGGCACGACTGAGCTTCTGAGTCGCGTCTTTCGCACAAATCAAGCAGAGACTAAACTCTAAATCCTAGATGCCCTCATCCAATACCTTGACTTGTCCATCCCAAGCCCCAAAACCAAACAGTCTGAGTCCTAAAAAACCCGAAAGGGCCTGCGCTCCTCTGCTTGGAGGGTTCTGACTGAGTGAGTGCACTAGCGATACATATTCGAGTATGTCTAGGTGCGACGAAATCTGCTCACTGACTCTTTGCTTCCCGCGGCCTCTGCCTTGGAGACGACACAGCGCAGGAAAGGCTGCGACTCCTGATCGGGCCGCCTCTGTGTCTCTCTCTTTGCCTTTTTCGGGGAGTTCCTGTCGCACTTGCGACGAACCTTTCCAGTCGAGTCAGAACACAGCCGGCCTTGGAAATTTGCTGTGCGTGGCCCTCAATGGAAGAGAAGTCGTTGTCGTTGAGCTTCCTTTTACGGCAACAGCTGCAGTGACCGCTCAACACCTCCTACTGTTCAGCCATGTTGCCATCAGGAACTCAAACTCCTTCCTTGCGACGTGCTGTCTAATTTAGTGATAGCTGTCCTGTCACCGAAGAAGCCATCGTAGTAGAAACCAGACCTCCAACGAAACTGCCGCAATCGACCAGCACCCGGGGGACATATTACATACCACATGTTAAATCAAAACAAACAAACAAATAAATAAACATATATATATATATAGATATTCACACATGCATGCATGCATGCATGCATGCATGCATGCATGCACATATGTACATAGAAAGAATATACTGCATATCCACACATACAAAACGTGTGTGTGTGTAAATATATATATATACACATACATACTGTGGCTTCTATATACTATCGCATATTACATCTTTTGCATATCCTATACTATATACTAGCAGAACTACGTCTTTCGACCCTTTCGGAGCAGCTGAGCAAGCAGCTCCAAGGCCGGACCGATCGTCAAATGGCACCCAAACTCGCGTTCCATGGCTTGGCCTTGGAAAGGGACATACTATACAGCTTTATATGCATATATAGGTTTCTCTAGGTATATGTATGTGTATATATATATATATATGGTAAGCCCCCCATGAACTACCGACACTCGTTTCATATCGTAAATACCGTGTCAAGTCAGCTTTTCCGGCGGGTCCGGGTTCTGTATCTCTCGAAGACTACCAAAACAAAACCCACATTTCAATAGAACGTGCCTGACAACTCGTTCAGGTTTGACGTCAGCATGCACTCCACGGCACCACTGTGCTCTTCCAATCAAAACCAATTTTCACCCGGGAAATCCAAAATACCATTTCTGGGGAAGCTATATGGCCAATGTCCCAAAAAATGTTTATGTTTTTCCCTAGGAAAAACTTGATTTGGGACCCAAGAACCCAACATTTTCCTATAGGAAACGGATGTTTTTGGATCGGATAACCAACTTTCTCCTGGAAAAAACATGGTCATTGCCTGGAAAACCACTTTTCCTTAGAAAAACCGCCAAAAGCATTGTTGGAAAATTTAATTTTTCACGCCAAAACCATCTTGTTCCCAGAAACAGGTTGGTTTTTCTGTCCACAACCATAGTTTTTCTAGGAAAAGTTCGTATTTCGGCCCAAAGCCATTTTTTTGCCAGGAAAAGTTGGTTTTCCATACAAAAATCATCTTTTTCCGAAGGGGAAAGTTAGTTTTTCGGCTTAAAACCAACTTTATCCTAGTGAAAACAAAAACCATCTTTTTGGACCTTGGCCGTATAGTTTCCAATTTTGTTTTTTGGTTTTTGGGTTTTTCCCCTATGAAAAGATGGTTTTCGGTCCAAAGCCATCTTTGGTTCCCGATCAAAAACCATCTTTTTCCTAGGCAAAGCTGGTATTTCATTCCAAGACCAAGTTTCCTAGCCCAGAGTGTGTGTGTGTGTGTGTTTCATCTGTTGCTTGTGGGCGTTACGATTTCGTGTTGCCAATAAGGTTCGAGTGCCGTTACTATTGGGATTCGACTCCGCTTAGCTTTAATACTGTACAATAACATTACTGCGTAACAAGCAGAACTATTCGGATCAGTTTAGGGTCAATAAAAAGCTAGTATTGCAGGTTTGACACAGACCGGGACCCAGGAATCAGGGTTCTCACAGCTAGCACTACGATTTCTTTTGGCTGACCACGGTTGTAGATTACTTTATGGCTGGTACTAAGCCTACTATGGATGGCCTTAAGGCTGCTGTCAGGGCGAATATTACGGCTACCATCGACAGACGGGCGAATGACAAGGATAGGCGTAGGGTTGATGTTGCTTGGACTCAGAATTCAGTTAACGATCCTCGTCATTATGGTATCTAGTAATCTAGTACAGGTGTAACTTTCGGGTTGGCATGTGTAGATACACACATAAATGTACATACACAGCATACGGGCGAGTTCGACATGATCATATACTACAGTGAGAAAAGGGGTGCCATTTTCAAACGTTGAGGTAAGCAAACAAATGCTGGTATCATCTCTAAAAGGCTAAGGGCCATCATTTGGGCAACGGATCGTGGTTCTTAATGGATATCGTTTTGCGTAGCCTAATATGTGCATGAATATGACGGCTACTATTGAAGCAAATGTTTGAGCAGTATTTAGCTTACTTGAATTAACATTAACAGTAAATAGTATTAGGGATGCCATGACTCTTGTCTTCGGGGACTTGAATGCTCATGTTGGGGATCGCACAGCTTCCTCTGGATTAATTAACCTGTTGATGAGGCCAATGGCCGGGGTTTCCCCTAAGGCCTGCTGTTGAAGGAAGTATCGGGTAGAGTACGAAGGTTACCAATGGGAACGGCTTACGGGCAATATTCAGTTTGCGGGGAAAGTCCATCTTGGAGTCAGATCCAATCTTAGGGTTGCCAAGGGGACTGCAATATCCTTACTATCGGGGGGACCAAACAAGCTGATATGTGATTACATTAACCCTCAGGTCGACATGGGAGTTAATACGAGGATGCATAACGGGGTTACTAGTGGACATGGCATTCTTTCATACGAACTAAGACGTGAAGCTATAAGGCATCTTTTTTGGGTGAACATGAAATAGAAGACTACTGTCACCATTGGCGCCAATGTAAGGTCTAATGGCAGGGTTAGTCTTAGGGAAACTCTTGTTCAAGAATAGGAGTCAGTCAAGGATCACGGTCATTCATACGTACTGCTGGGGCTTGGATCTGAGACTACAGTGAAGTCTTTCATAAACATCTCTCGGAGTATCTGCATGAAGGGTCGCAAGAATTGAGAATGAAGGCGGCTGCCGATATATATATATATGCCGTCCCCTCGCAACTTCAAAACCTAACGTTGAACCTGGATCATGCACCAGAAACCTAAACGTAGGAGGATTCGTGGCGCTGTCG